GATGTGTTAAGATCTAACACATTTTTACAAAATAAATTAAGAAACCACACATATCAAGCATATAACACATAGATCTACGCATTTTACCTGTATTCTCCACCAAAAATCATGTAAAAACCGAAAAACAAGGAGTAAGAACTCACCTTTGGGTTTGGATTTAGTTTTGATGAAAGAATGCAAGAATGTGGTGTGATTTTTGGCTCTAGTTAGATCCTTGAAGGGACCTTCGAGTTTTGATGAGTTCGCTAGTATGTAACTTGAAGTGATTTTTGGATGAAACCTCCTTGAAATGCTTCTAATTCTCGAAAATTCTTGATGAAAGGGGAGAGGGGCTCTTGATTGTGTATTTAGAAAGAGTTTGATATTATGTATGTGTGTTTATTGTTTACGGACGAAGGGTTAATAAGAGAGGGGATAGGAGTGCATGGAAACATGAGAGTGCTTGGTTACATGATAAATAAATGCCTAGTTATCCTTTAATTAAAAATGAGGTGGCATGGTTTAAGTTAATTATCCATTTTCTTTTTTACACACATGGGCCGAAAATGGGCCAAATGAAGTGAAAGAAAATGGCATTGGGCTCAATCTCTTGGCTTGTTCGAAACCATGAGGCCCATAGAGAAAATTTTCGGCCCATTGGGTAGTTTACGACCCAAATGGAATAAAAGAATGGGTTTTTATGGTCCATTAGGGTTAATTGGATCAATTATGGTCCAATAAGGCCCCATAAGGGTAAACCAATTCATTTTAGACCCATCTAGGCCCAAAATGTTAAGTTTTATAAATATGGGTCCAATTAAAGCCCATTTAAGGGTCCTAAGCCCAAAATAGTCAAATTGGAAGCTTATTGGTCCATTAGGCCCAATAAGAGAATCCTAGTCCATAATGGACTTAAATCGGGATTCTTATGGTTTTCAATCCTTAGTTGACTATTTTAAGTGTCTTGTATAAAGTTTTGGCCTTTATAATTGGATTTTGATGGAACATCATACACATTTTCAAGTTATGGTTACAATTGTTGCCTTCTTAACGTTTACAAAAGTATAGAATTTCCTAGCTAATTTGTTAGTTATGACACTAACTCTACTCTCAATACAAATCAACCTACACCGGTACAAACTAATCCAGGACTTTCTGCCAGCGCTAACACCATCCGAGCTTGCACTGCCGCTCGAAGAGAGATGCCTGTGAGACCCTCTCAAGTTCTTGAATTCGAAGGAGGTTTTGAGAATTCAAAAGTCCGAAGTCACTTTCTTTGTCCCTAGGAATCTAAGTTCCAAAAGCAGACGAAATCGCTATGGAACCGGACCTCCTCGCTGCCGCTTAATTCATTACCAGGAAGAGGGAAATTCGCTTTTTTAGTAAGCCCACCCCACCCCCCAAATATATATATATATATATATATATATATATATATATATATATATATATATATATATATATATATATATATATATATATATATATCTTAATATTTTTATAGGTTTTACCTCTTATAAAATACATCAATTAAGCCTACCCTTTTAGACAAAAAAATCATGCTGAGAAAATACTAAAGATTTGGTTTGTATATCATTTGAACTTTTACTACAAACGTTTACAAACTCTTACTTCAAACACTGTTTCGAACATTTTGATACAAACATAGACACTAAATACTTATGAACTCACCAGCTTTAATGCTGATAAACTCTTTCAAAATAACTTGTATTCTCAGGTCATCAGTAGACAGGTACTGATGCCAACTTTTGAGAAGATGGAGCGCATTCAAGACTCATCTTATATTTTGATTAATGTTTTGGTGTCTTATATACTACAGAACACACTTGTATTAAAATTATTTATTTAATGCAATGGATGATGTTGTTTACTTGTTTACTATTATACTGTGTTTTGATACTGTACATGACGTCCTCCGCCCCAGAACGTTTCCGCCGTTCTCGGTTTTGGGGTGTGATAGTATCTCTATAAACTAGTACTTTGAAAATGTACTCATGTTTAGTTAATTATACACTAACGTATTGTTAATATCTTTTTAATGAGTTATTATAGCCATACTATGAATAGATGGCCTAAAACAACGCTTTGAAGGTGTTAAAATGTTGATAACAATTGTCACTCATAGGCGTGTATGCTCGATTGTAGCTAGCAGCCCAAGTGCAGGGCTGTCAATCCCGATATAGATCTATACACACTTGTTTTGATTCCCTGCTGGAGATTTTGGTTATAATATTAGGACTTTAACTATGTTGTTTAAATGAATAAACAACTTGAACATGTTGTCTCATAAAAAGCATATAAACGTTACGTGTATAATAAAAACCCAATCATTCTGAAATAAAAGATTGATAGTATTTTCTTTGTTTAGTATACTCCAAATCTACTTGAAAGTTGTATACCCTTGTTTAGCTTTGAATCAAACTCTTGTTCTTGTACATTAGTATAAATCCATGTTCTTATAAAATAGTATACTCTAGTATACTTGACTCGTGAGTTAGTGTTCTTGACTCATAAATTATACCTATTATAATTTATATGTACTTTCAGTATTGATGCTAACTATTCATGAATGCATCCCCTTGCTCGACATGTTACAAAGGATATATATATATATATATATATATATATATATATATATAAGATATATAACTAAAATTGAAACGGTAGTCGGACAAATAACCGATACCCTAAATCCACATCTAAACAAGGAAAAGGAAATAAAGTGAGTTATCAGTCCTAATTCTTTTAAATCTTATATATATATATATATATATATATATATATATATATATATATATATATATATATATATATATATATATGATCTTTGAGGAAAAATATAAGTTTATAGAAGAGTTTAACATTTTGAAATACTTTTGATGACTTGATGTCATTTTATCATAATTTGGAATCATTTGTTTGTAACACAAAATCCTTGTGTTAGACTTGATGTCATTTCATTTTTGATGGTCGATTATGTTAATGCACACAGTATACGAACATTTCTCTTTATTATTTTAAAAAGTATTGCAAATTGATCTATACTATTACATAGATTCGAAATAACGGTTTGTTACAGTGGTACTTTGGGGGAACTCACTAAGCTTTATCTTACAATTTAAGTTTCATGTTTTAGGTACTTCAGATGATCGGGGGAAAGCAAATGCATGATCGTACACATCATTCGATGATATATTTGGGAGATTTTGTTACACTATGATTCTGAGATATTTGTATTTGATACTTGGTTTTTGACTTGGGTTTTGTTTGAAAACAATGATTTTACTTGATTAAAAATGGAAAAAAAAAATTATCGTGATTTTGGGATGTTATAGTTTTTATATGAGTTTCTGAGACTCAGTGACATTAACTAGCAGGTTCTCACTTTTATCTAGACCATCTGGTTTTACTATAATGTTAGCTTTTAAAGGTGTTTTAACATGTTTGAATCAAAGCATACCAAAATCATACAAAAGTTCAAGATAACATTCACAACAAGAAAATTGGGCATCTATGACTAAAAATTTAGAGACTGGTTAATCAGCCATCGATACTATTTGAGACTTATTTAAATGTGTTAATCATTAGAGACTGAACAAACCTATTGGAGACTGATACTTAGTCCCAATTCTATTTATGCGAAATTACATTGGAGGGTAACTTATTAGAGACTGGATTTCAGTCTATGATATACATACTTAATTTTTATCTTGGATGGAAATCTATTAAGGATTGAATTCGAGTCCTTAATAGACTTGTGGTGGTTTTCATTTTTGAAGAAACTTATTAGAGACAGAATTTGAGTTTCTAATAGATTTACACCGATTATGATTTTTGAGGGAAACTTATTAGAGATAAAATTTTAATCTCTAATAGACATGTGTTACTTTACATTCAAATGGACACTTATCATGGACTAAATTTTTAGTATGTGACACTAATTAACATTGTCATGAATACCATGTATCAATGATTGATATTTTTTTTTTTTTTGAAACGGCAAATCTAACCTACTCCTAAACTACACCTTAAATCCACCTATGTCCACGATGGGACTTGAACCCTCAACCTCAAGTAGGGAGGGCAACACCGTATACCGCTAGGCTACAAGCCCTTTGGTCAATGATTTTTAGTATGTGACACTAATTAACATACTAGTCAGAGGTTCATGGTTGATATATTAATCACCGAAGGCTACAAGCCCTTTGGTCAATGATTGATATATTAATCATCAGAGGGATATTTATTAGGGACTAAATTGTAGTCTCCAATCAGCATGGGGATACTTATGAATAATTAAATTATAATATCTAATATTATCAGTGAGTTCTTGATACCATAAATCAAAGACCGATGAATATGTCCCAGAACTAATTTAGAACAACACTTATGGATTGAATTTCAGTTTCCGATAGACACACATCATCTTATATTTCGAGTGGCACTAATTAGAGATTAAACTTTAGCACGTGAAAGATTGAGACTGATTAATGAGCCACACATGTATATTAAATGTTGATGAGCTTTAGTCTTTGGTAGATATGCATACTATTTGCATGGACCCTCCCCCGCCAACATCACCACCACCCCCACAATTACCTCCCCCCTCCACCACCTATGCCACCATTACCTCCGCTACCTCCACCACTACCTCTACCATGCACAAGGGGATCACATGAGTCATATAAGGGCTCAAGGGGATGCCATGCACAAGCATGAAAATTTTCTTCATTGGTTTGTCTAACAACTATATGGTCAAAGGGTGAATCATACTCCATAACCACAATCTCCTCAGACGAAGAGCTTTCACCAATTCAAGTGTGTGGAGATACAAACACACATATCCCATGAACCTAGTTGGCAAAATGATCAGATAAAGTAAATAATTAACAAAAGCATCAATAGTTGACACAAAGATGTCCCTAAGCCAAAGTTAGCCAAAGTTTTTTAGTGTTCAAGTCCCACTTTGGACAAAATGTGTAGATTTAGGAGTAGAATATTACGTGTATGGGTTAGCCTTAGCCGTTTTTTTATTAAAAAAAAAAAAGTAAATATGGAAACCTTGAAGTAGGTGAGAACTTATTCTCCGAAATGAAGATAGAAATGAACAATTTGATATAAACCAAACAAAATCTTTGGAAAATTACTCGAAAGGCTACACTTCTAGATCCTAATGTCCACTTCATCATCAAACGTATCTAGAAACTTCCAAACATTCAAAACCAAGCCGTCAAGCCGTCGTACTCATAGCCGCCTTTTTCTTGTCTTCCTCAATCTGTTCCAATTCAGCCAGTCTTTCAGCCCATGCCCTGTCCCTTGCAACTGCAGCCATCTTTCTCTCTATCCTCCCAATCTTTTTCTTTCTGTTGGCTTCTTGCATTTGCGCCTTTCGTTTCTTCTTTTCCGACTTTTTATCATCAAAAAAAAAAAAAAACCCAAATTTAGCTTCTTCTTTTTTACTAACCTTACGGGTTTTTATTAATAAATAAATGTGTAAAATATATGATACCAATATGAAGGCATGGCGTTGTTTTATTCGCTTTTTTTCGTTTCTACGTTTGAAACTTCCTTCATTTGGTTGATTTGCAGGAATTGGTTCACCAGGAACATGTTTAACCCAAGCATAAGGCCCTACATTTCCACAAATGATCAATAAAATCAATCCAATTTGAATTCAATTTCTTATTTATATGTAAATACAATGTATAGAGTCATTAAACTTACACCATACCTTTAGGCTTCAAGCTAGCCCTTTTCCTACGTGGCTTATCAACAGGCCTTCTTTTTGGGAACCGGGTATCTGTGAGACTTTGGATTGCCCTTACTGATGTGGGCCCCCAAAACAGGTGGTTCTTGTGGATTGACCCAAAAAGGGGGTGCAGCTCATTGGTGTATGCAGCAGAAAGCAATGGTTTAGTTAAAGGGGATGAAGTGGTTGTGATAGAGCGAGATAAAATTAGGGTTCTTGACACAGGTCGGATTATGGATCTTATTGCCCCAAAAAGCATGATTGATTGATCACTGATTTAGATCTGGTGGGTGTCAATAAAATGGAAATTTGTCATTAGTTTGGTTTATTCCCGATAAAATTTATTATTTTTACTTATATAATGGAAGCAAATGAGAAAATGCTTGCAAGAATACTTGAAAGCAAAATAATAACAGAAGCAAAGAAAGAACATGGAAGAAAATGCATGATACCCTAAAACTTTAGAGATAAAATGATTCTATTTCTTTTCCATTTTATCTCACATTCATCATGATTTGTGCAAGCATAAGAGTTGCTTTCTAAAGTTTCTGATAAATCAGAGAACAGCAAGTGTAAGTCTTGTTTGCTATAAACAAGAAGGCCTAATCAAAGAAAACGTATAGCAGATAACAAAATCATATCTGGGCCGATTGCAAATAAGACTAAACCTACATTATAAAAATTACAAATTCATAATCCACTATACAGATTCAAATTCCAGATACCCTTCAGAAAAACCGTATAGAAGGTGTGGGGTAGAAGTTAAACTACCTCATTAACCTAATATCTTAATCGTGGTTGAACTTAGAGTAAATTCATCGTTTCGATTAAATTCTACAAACTCCATAATCGGCAAGCAAATCATGAAAAATATTCAATTGATTGGATGCATAAATAAAAACAGAGAGGAGATTGAGGACTGACCTTAACGGGGATCTGGAAGAAGCAAAGTCGAAATGAGCTGAAGAATCGAGAAAATCGGAAATTGAATCAGCCACAGTGATTTACCTGGTTCGAGAGAGCAGCAGGTCGAAAATCGAAATGTGAGCGAACTGAGGAAACGAGTAGACCGATGAAAGAGGGCTTATGAAATTTTAGGGTTTAAAATGTAATGGAAATATAGAAATCCAATATAGGTATTTTACATGGTAGTACTTTGCTACCAAACAATTAATCAACTAAATAATGCAAATGAATTTTGATTTTATGACTAGAGAAATTAAATAATGCAAATCTTATGACTATCCATGTACATTCCAAATTTATTTATTTTTATCCTATTATAGAATATATTTTGATGATTTTAACAATCATTTTTATAATTAGAATTAACCACTGTTGTAAAAATCCCGACTAGGTCCCGATTAATTCATAGGCGCTACTCAACCGATTAGAGGGCGCCTAGCGATTAATCCCCCCATAAATAATGAGTGAAATAGTATGAAACGATGAAATTTTAACATTTTGAAGAAGTTTTATCTCAATGGAAACTATTTGAGGTATGATTAGTGTTGTATTAATCATATTAACCTATTTTGTTATAATATTAGTGGTATTTATGAACTTTGATATGATATTAGTCATATTTAGGTTTTTAAAATTCAACAAATTAGCAATTAATGGTCTCCGATTAATCCTCCGATTAATCTCTGCCTAACCAATTAATCACTTAACCTCAGTCCACCGACTAGCTAACGCCAAGCGTTTTTTACAACCTTGAATTAACACAAGTGTCCAATAAGGATTTAAACTGTTATATGATACAATTTAAGAGGTGTACAATGCACATATATAAATAATGTGAGTTTGATCATACAACGAAATATGAGGTCAAACCTCCTTGTGAGGTCTATGAGGTAGAGCGACAGACAGTAGTCCTAAAGTATAGGTACGAGAGAAGGGGTAGATCCCTCGGAGTTTAGGCAGCTCCCTAAAAGCTCTATATAATTTTGGACCTAGAATGCATTGGAAAACATACGTGGAACGAAGGAACATAAAAGAAACAAGAAAACTTTAGATAGTCTTAAAGACAGTGCTAAGCTAACTGGTTGACAAGTGGTAACCTGACAACTGACTGTTGGAAATATGTCCATAGCCAAAGTCATTTTTTGTTACACACAAGATATGATTTAAGCTTAAGATGACAAAAAAGAGATTAGAAGGACTAGTTTGTTAATTTATCATGAGATGATGATATAACTAGAAACTAAAAATAATTAATGGTTTTAAGTGTAATTATCATTAATTTAAATTGATAAATATTTATCTCATAACTCAAGGGATAAATATACCTATATATAAGAAGATTATTATCATAAAAAGCCCTAATCAACTCTCACCTTAGAGTCGACATCACCTCCTTTTTTTCCCTCTCTCCCTCTTGACTTTCTCTTCGATCCTAATTTTGAAGATCTACCTACATTATTTGGCCGTTTTTTGGAGATCCAAAGACACTTAGAATGTCTTGATTTTTCGACAAATCATACCAACATTATGTACAATTGGATTGTTTAGATGAACTATATAGGTTCTAAAGACTTTTCTTATGTTTGATTGATAACAACATTTTCTAGGCTCGGTTTGGCATCAAGAAAGAGAATGATTGTTGTCTTTTGCTTGATCATTGTCTTAGGGTGCTTCCATATTAAATGAGTTATGTTTTAGGCTCTCCAATCATCCAAAATAATGCAAGGAACTCTTTCAACAAGAAAGATATACCATTTCACCTCTCTCTCTCTCTCTCTCTCTCTCTCTCTCTCTCTCTCTCTCTCTCTCTCTCTCTGGTTTTAAGGTTTGTTGTATTTAATCATGAACTTGTGATCTTGGCGTAATATATGGTAAAAATTTTGATTTTGCTTCAATTGTGTTTCTTTCGTAAAAACCATCATATTCCAACACTAACATCATCCAAGATGTATGTGGGCAGCTTCAAATTGAACGGTTACATTCACTTTTGAAAAAAACAGTTATATAACCACCAAATTCACAAATTCCGTTGTCCTCAGCCAGATTTCGGATAGATAAATATATTAAATACATACTCATATTTCACTATTTTGGAACTTTCTTACAAAATTAAATTTACATATATTTTTTTACAGAAGCAAATTCTATGTTTAAGTGATCATAACGTTTATCCAAAGTTGAATTATTAGTAACTCAATCATTGTAAGGCCTCTCGAAGTTGTTGCGGTTTCATAGACGAGATTAGCCGATACTGTCGGGAAACGATGACCAGCAATAGTAGGTTCACCGGGTTCACTGTTAATGCTTTTAAAATGGGTTGGTGAACCCGCTAGTGTGAGTGTTGAATATATTGAATATTTTGTATTCATGTGGCTTTAGGTCATGGATAAAAATAGAGATTGAATGTCTTCTGCCAACTTCATTAAATACAACTTTATTGAATGCAATTTAACCATATACTTGAATGCATTTGACTAGCATCTTTTATTTATTTATTTATTATTATTTTTTGTTTTATAAGTTTACAAATATGAATACACAATTCATTTATTTGTATAGTTTTATTTTAATTTATAATTTTTAATTTAATTAAATAAAAAAGAATGATATATAAAATGGGTTGGGAAAGATAGGTTATCATATCTTGTGGGTTGGAGAAGAAAGAAGAAAAAAAAAATTAAAAAAATCGTATGACAATGGGTTGGGAGGGATAGAAAAATATCAAATAAAAAAATCGATATGACGTTGGGAAAGATAGCTTTATCATATCTTACGCAATCCATGAACAATGTTGATTTGATTACCACCATTCTCTTTTCTACTCACCCATTTCTAACAATATACTACTAGATTTATTGGTTTTTTCTCTAAATTTCAACATATATATAGAACCGTGTCAAAGTATTTTAACATTTTTTTTTATTAATAATTGTTTAGTGTTACAAAAGTTTAATTATTTTTACGGTAAATTTACTTAAATGACAATATTTACATGACTTTTATTTTCTATAAAAAAATGGAATATATGTTAATAATATAGTTAAATATTAGCCTAGTTTCATGACTATGCATCTTGTGGCCGTTTAAACTAGTTTAAGGACATGAACCATTCGACTTTCATATCTATTAAAATTCATCTTCTATATAATGTTACAACAATCATGTAGTAATTTACAGACGACATTGATACTATTACACAAAACGAAAGGTATCGATCATACATTCAAACATCATAACCAGGATTTACAGTTTGTTGAACATCACCATAGCTCTCCAACTCATCAATATCCTCGGGACTTCCCAAGAACAACGGAAGTCTCTGATGCAGCTTCACCGGTTGAATCGACAGAATCCTGTTCTTCCCGTCTGACCCTTTCCCGCCGGCTTGCTCCGCCACAAAACTCAGCGGATTCGCCTCATAAACAAGCCGAAGATGGTCTCTAGGGTTCATCGCCACTCCACCATACATCAAAGTTCTGTGAAAATCAGCAACCAACGAACAAATATAACGCGCAGAATACTTCTTCGGAAACTTCCCTTTCCCTTGTCTGATTGTATCAATGTATCGCCTCAAACCCTCCGGCCAATCAAAGTATCGCGCATCGTTTACAGAATAGATCTGACCTCGAGGAGGGATTTTGATGTCTGGGTGTGTGAGAACGAAGTCTCCAGTGGAATGATCGAGAGTGAAGGCGTGTGCACCGGAACCGAAGGTGGTGCAGAGTATGGTGGCGGAGGAGTAAAGAACATAGCCTGCGGCAACAAGGCGATTGCCGCTCTGTAATGAATTCAGCAACGCCTTTTCCTCCGTTGGAAGATTATCGACTTCTATTAAGCGATTGTAGATCCCGAAAATGGTTCCGGTGGGGATTGAAGCGTCGATGTTACGAGAACCATCGAGGGGATCTGTTACCACCACAAATGGGGCGTTATCGGTTATCCAAACGGGAGCATCGTCTTCTTCGGAAGCCATAACTGCAACTTTTCCGGAGTTTTTCAAAGAAGACAATATGATTTCATTCTGGGAATATTAAAAAAAAACATATCATCAATGAAGGGGATTTTAAGAACACGAAACCCCCTAATAATTTGCACATACGAGATCGAAAAATACAGACAGAAATGATTAGTCTACGTACAGAAACAATGTCGAGCGGCTTAGGTTTATCTCTACCGGCGTCCACATCTTGGCTACCGCCGGAGCTTTTTCCGAGGCTGGAATTGACCGGAGAAGCAACGAGAGCTGCAATTCTCTTGAACGCATACTCCAAGTGACTAAACAACACCACCAGATCGTCACCTACGTTCGCGCCTCCCTTGCCGGCGTACTCGGTAATAGTAAGAAACTCACCGGAACTGTTATCCAATTTTGAATTGACCTTAAACCTACTGAAAGTGGAAGCCATACTAGCAGTGCTACGGTGGTTGACGAATTCCGGGAGGATGCGAAGTGGGTTTGGCGGGAATTTTGGTAGGAAATTGGGGTTGAGATTGAGATTTTGTATTGCGGCTGTGATTGTGGTGGTGGGTGATTGCATTCTATGGCTGTGGCGTTTTGGGGTGATGGGTGGAATTGAAAAGGGAACATCTTCGGAATTGATTATTTTTGATGATATTGAAGTTGGGAAATTGGTTTATTCTCGTGTTACAGCCTAACACATTTATATCAATCTTTTATGTTTTTAATACCATTTTACTATTTAACTTTTACAATCTGTTAAATTTTATTTTATATAGTTTAATTAAACATATTAAAAAAAAATATTTTTCCATTGAAAAATTAATGTTTATTAAACTCAATATATACGGACTATCAATTTGACACCTTATTATTATATTTTAATAATTAATTGAATGTCAATTAAAAATTCTATCTGGCAATTTCATGATCATGAATTATCTAGGGCTGAACATGGTAAGGTACCAATTTATTTTTAATCAAATCGTGTACCGTACCAACTCTATTTGGTATAATTTTTTTGCTACCGATACCGTACCAAGTAAAATTGGTACCAACTTGTTTGGCTACCAACAAATTTGGTTGGTACAGAATGGTAACGGTAGATTACCAAATTCTATCTATTTTTCAATTGTAATATTTAAAAATTCGCAATGACAACATGAGATAACTTTCTTGTCTAGTAATATAAATTAATAAAATAATATATTAGTTACTAAAGAATTTTATTAACTTTTTAGTTTTTTAGTTTAATGTGGTAATAACTATTGAGTAAGTGTAATGATTAATATCAAGCTTTTCAAATTGTAAAGGAAAATATGATTTTGTTTATATATAAACAAAATCATATTTTCCTTTACAATTTGAAAAGCTTGATATTAGTTGGTACGGTATATATTATATGAATTGGTTGGTACGGTAATACCGTGATATTTAAAATTTAATACCGTTACCGTACCAAGTTTACTAAATTGGTATGGTATTGTCAACCTAACATATTGGCTACCGAACATATTGGTAACCAACTATCTTGGTTCAGTTGGTAGCATGTTGGTTGGTTCTCCATGGTACATATTTGACAGCCCTAGAATTATCGATTTCCTTAAAACGTTTGAAGCAAAACTAATATTTTCTTGTATTGTTCAAGAGTCAAGACGGGTTGTGTGGATTGGGTGAGGCAAAATAGTTTTGTTTTTAAAAGTAATTACAAGTAATTTTTGAAATTATATGTAGTAAAAGGGGTTTCCAAAAAGGTGTTTTGTGAAGAAAAAAAAATATAGGTATAATTTTAAAAATATTTAGTTTAGCTTCAAGTTTTGATATATTTTTGATGGTTTCGACCCGTTGGACTTGCTCGATTTTCAAGAAGCATAATCACAAAGATGAATGCTATATTCATTTGTACAAAAAAAAAAAAAAAAACCCTCAAAATTGATCTTGATAACTTCATCAATTGATTCATTATGTTAGGTATAAGGATATGCGTAACTCATCCAAAATTGAACACACTTACTAAATGTGACAATTTGGCTTATTTGTCTGAGTTGGTACTCCATACGTCGATAAGTCGGTTTTATTGAAACCATGATATACAATTTGGTTGTGGTTTGAAGACTAAACCAGAGGCCAACAAATCAATATATTTATATTATGTTTTGAAAAGTTGTAATAAAATATGTTTCATATTTATTTAGCTTTTCTTGAGCATTTAATTATAAATCACCAATCAACACACAAGTTACTAATAATCAAATGACATTTTTCTAGAGGTATCATAAGTTACTGGAAAAGTGCCTTTTAACCAATAGGTTGAAGCTTTAAGTCTCGTTTGGAACAAATTTGTAGATTTAGAAGGTTTATGAGTTGGTTGTTAAAAAAAAGTACTCTAGTTCCCAATTTTGTCAAAGCTTTTATAGTTCAATGTGTAATTTTCTTTTTTACATGATTTTCAATTATAGTGTTATGAATTATGAAATTGCTTAGTTTTTAGGGATAACTACAAAAGTAACCACCATAATTGAGGCTTTAAATGTGTGTTTGGTTGTGAAAAATTATTTTTAGTTTTATTTGAACAAAATCATAAAAATAATGGAGTTTTCATTTTTAGCAATGTGTTTGGTGAAAACGGGTTGAGATTTCATTTTCCGTTTTAGAAAAATAGAAAATATGTTGGGTTGTTTAATTTTTTTTTTTTCAAATGATACAATATTTGGCATATTACATGCATAAACATTTAGCAAATGTTATGCATTGTTAAAGACACATCAAACTACAATTTCTAAAGCAATGATTATAAAATGGTCCATGTATTGTTACAAAAGTGGTTCATGTGGAGGTGGGGTGGGTGGGATAGGGTGACAGTATGGGATGAATGTGGGGGATGGATGTGTGCGTAAAGAGGGGGATGGGGATAAGGTGGAATGAGTGTCGGGTGAGAGTAGGGGTGAGATATGTATATAAGGTTATATTTTAAAAAAAAATTAAGTAAGGAAAACAACAACTTTCATTTTTCAAGTTACATGTAATTTAGAAATTGAAAATTTCTTTTCTCTAATTAGAAAAATTTTGGAAAAAAAAAATACTAAACCAAATATGTTTTCTAACTTTTATTAGAAAATTTTCAACGATCAAACACATCCTAAATTTCGAGATAACTTTTTAAATTGTAGATTTGGTCAAATTATGATTATCGGGATCTTTTATTTCAGAGAAATCTTCGTAAATTAAGGTAAAATAATAAGAGTTTAACAAAACAAGTAAGTAATAAAACCGGTAAACCGGAAAAAAATTGGTCAAATCGTCATTTTTACCGACAACTCATGGTTTTTCGTAAATAAGTTTTAGTTTGGAACTTTTTCGTAAATTAAGGTTAAATTTTAGGACTTTTTTTTTGAAGAATTCCTTTTATTTTATAAACATATTCTTTTATGTTGATAGTTATAATGGATGGGTATAATATGTTAAATTGGTCAAACAATACCGCTCTTGGTTGGTTTGATCTTTTGGCTAAGATCACTAATTCAAAACTTGTTTGCAACTTGGATTCGATTACGGTATGGACGAGTCAAATATTATGATAGTTTCCAAGTGCTTAAATCCCCTCTTTTTTTGTACATCTCTAGTCTCTATCCAAGAACTACTACAAAGTGTGGTTAGATCCAACTAGAGCCAAGATCTAGGCAACGACCAAAACTAGACTCTATGGTAGCGTTTAATACACGAGACTAGACATAAATGAATTGAACAAGACTAAACTAGATGGTCTATATATGGAATTTGGTACAACCAATCTAAGCGTGTTTAATAAGGAAACATTTCTCGAAAACATAAGGACTTTTATGATATTAACCAAATCTTTTATGCATACATGGTTGCATTATACCGAATATTGTCACTTTCATATATGTGACGATGGGGATGTAAAATCAAATTATTACAATTTTGAGTGGATACGAACATTGTTGACAAAAACTTCACAAGTTCGGGATATGTCATTTTTCCATATTTTAACAAAAAAGTGGTCGGTTGATGCAATCATATTCAAAACATATAGCTAGTCTCGTATGCTACTTAATAGATTTCTTAATAACAAAAAAATAATGTAAATAAATATATACCATAATTAATTTTCTAACTACAAAAGAAAAAAAAAATACTTTTTTAATATGAAAGAAAGATTTATTTCTTTTAACCAAACATGAGTCTAGTAAAATATGGTCAGTAAGTAGAAAACTGAAACGAATCATACAACATATGCAAATTCTTAATAAATTATTACTATGGGACCCATCGTAACAACAATTTTCAAACCATATCTAAAGTGGTTTTCAAAAGTATAAAAAGAAGAGGTGATCATTTTGTCATCTATCAAATTCAAAAGAATCATATTTTGTCGTCTACCAATACAAGAGGTAGGATCATTCCAGATACTACAAGACACCAATATAACTTCAAAGATATGAACCATACTTTTTTCTTAAGTACTCAGGTCATTATTGAAGCTCAAGAGAACCAAAAATGGTGCTACACACACTTGAACTCTTGAAGAAAGAAGTACCACTAGAAGAGGAATCACTTTGCATACCGAAAGATATCAAAACCGGACTCGTTCTTGTTGACATCATCAATGGCTTCTGCACCATTGGAGCCGGAAACTTGGTGAGTTCATAAATATCACGTGTGTTATGTAAAACTAGAAACTTGACAAACTTGTATTGAAACCAATAATGATGTCAATAAGATAAAAACTGTTATTTTTTTCACACTGATAAAAGATTTGATTTTGATCGTGTACAAAAGATGTAAATGCTCTTTTCATTTTTACCGTAAAACATAGCGTTTGAAAAAAGCTTGTCTAGTTTGGTTCATAGTTTGATCATTGATGCTCCATCAATTAAGTTTAGAGTAAACTATTATTTTAATCTTTGGGTACAACTAATTTTTTCAATTTTGGTACTAAAAGAATTTATGTTGTAATTTTGGTCTTTATTTGAGATTTTATAAGGTTTTGGTCCATACTCCACGTAAAATAACTATATTTTCAATACTAAAATTGAAAAAATCAGTTACACTTAAAGATCAAAAATAGTAAATTTACTTAAAACAACGACAAAAAAAAAATTACAAAAACCTCAAATTAGACTCAACAAAGCAAAAGAACTTTTTGGAACCAAAATTGCTATACTTACAACACAAAAATGTAATTTACTCTAAAGTTTACATATTGACAAATGATTGTTTTTTTGTAAAAAAGGCACCAAGAGAGCCAAACCACCAGATATCCGAAATGGTCAATGAGTCGGTGAAACTTTCAAGAATATTTTGTGAGAACAAATGGCCGATTCTTGCGTTTTTAGATACACATCAACCTGGAAAACTCGAACACCCTTATCCTTCTCACTGTCTTGCTGGCTCTCATGAATCCAATTTGGTTCCTAGTATTATTTTATCTTTTCTTATATTTCTTTATTAAGTTTATAACATTTATTTTTCAAATTATATTTTATATAAATTTCATTTTATATATAGCTCTAGAGTGGTTGGAGAAAGAGCCAAATGTAACGATTAGGCGCAAGGATTGTTATGATGGATATATTGGTTCTATTCAAGAAGACGGTTCAAATGCTTTTGCGGATTGGATCAAAACCAATAACATCCAACTCGTAAGTATTTATGAATTATTTGTTCCATAAATTAATATATATTTCCTTTTTGGACATAATAAAGTAAATGATCATTTTACCAATTAAATAAAAAGAAATTAAATACCATCTTACCTTTTCTCTCTCCTTAAATAAATGATATTTGTATTTGAATAAGTATTGTATCGACAAAGACTATTTCGTTGGACCGAACGAACCATCTAAACAATAGTAAATGACCATTTTACCGTTGTGCAAGTGATGTCGAATAATTAACTTATGTTTATTTGGAATAAATGTTATATGGACAAAGGTTTTTTTAGGACTAAAATAAACCATTTTACCTTTGTAGTTACGAATAAATTAATGTTTGGAGTGAGTGTTGAGTGGACAAAGACTGTTGCTCATTTGGACTGAATGTATTGGAATTGTCTTAACAACAGTAAATAACAATTTTACCCTTTAGTCTGCAAGTGACGCTGACTAAATAAATGGTGTACATTTATTTAAGGTCTGTCTATATTAAGTCTATTAAGTAGAAAATAAAGATAGTACTAAATCAAACAAGATCAAACTAATAATTATATATATATATATATATATATATATATATATATATATATATATATATATATATATATATATATATATATATATATATATATATATTTTGTTTGTTTAAGTTATTGGTGGCAGGAATATGTACAGATATATGTGTGCTGGATTTTGTTTGTTCAACATTATCAGCAAGAAATCGTGGTTTTCTAGCACCATTGGAAGATGTGGTGGTGTATTCCCATGGTTGTGCTACCTTTGATTTCCCAGAATCGGATGCAAGGGGCACTAAAGATGCCTTAGCTCATCCTCAGGTACAAAATTTTATTATTTTTAGATTATATAAAGATATACGATATAAGATTTAGATACTGTATTAATTCAACAATTACTTGATGATCAGAGATTATTTGTTTCTTTGATACAATGACCCATAAAGGACAAGAAAGATTGCCTCAAATATGAGAAAATTCGGTTGATGAATGCCTTTGAGAAAAAAAAAAAAAAACAATTAAAGCGCTATATAACCACCTTTATTTAGTTAAGTTTTAATATGAATTTTTATTTTTTATTTTTTTTATTTCATGATTTGAAATTAAATTACAATGATATTTTCTAAAACTAACTAGACTAGTTTTTATTTATTACTATTATAATCTTATTTGGGTTTTGATAAGCTTTTATTGTCTTTTATTTTTTTTATTTATGTAAATAAAAATAGGCTAAATGCAAGAAATAGCAGCATACTTCCACATATATCTTTATTATAGTCATCTACTTCTATTTTTTTTATATTACAACATTATACTTACAAGTTACAATTATTTTCTTACTAGGACATTCTATTTTGAGAAATGTATCAAACTATAGCATTTAACCCAATAAAATAATCCATCAACTATAATCAAATAATGTAAATAGTAGACTCAAAATTATACATTGTATTTACATATAATACAAAGAAACTGATGCCAACCAAATATGTTTGTGGGATGTAATGTCTCATTCCCTCATCTAGCTTATTCCACCATTTCATCAAATTAAACAGACCCTTAATTAGCTTTAAGCAACGATTTTTGGGACATTAATCCATTTCTTTTATGGCAGGAGATAATGCACCATATGGGTCTTTACATGGCTAAAGGAAGAGGAGCAAAAATAGCAAAGGATGTGTCTTTTGATGGACTAAAAAAGTAATTATATGTTGTGTATGTTAAAGTTTAAGTTTGTCTCTAGAAAGATATGATGTGCTTTTTCTTATTATGTTAATTCCTAAAATAATACCCAAGTTACAAGTTTGAAAGTTGACGCTAGCATTACCATTTTATGATCCATACATTTAAATACTACTTTACATAGCAATCTTATATGAACAACCTCCAATTTTACAATTTTATTTCTCGAAGTCATTTCAGGCTTTAGTGTTTTTGTTGCACTTAAATTTGTCAATATGTGAGCATGTACAATATTTCTTTTAAACAAGTACATTTGAAATGACACGTTTAGCTACATTTGGTTATTATTTATGTTAATATGTTTTAGTTAAATTTGATGATTATGGGAATAAGTTTATAAGTAACCGGGAGTAGTTTGTAATCAATTTATCAAGTTCGATTTAAATGATGCTTTTAGTTGAGGGTTGTTTAATAACCTCTGAATATCCATCCAACATATTTGATACATCTTTTGAACGTATAAGGAACCCTACATTCTCTGAACCATTAAGATGTTGAAATCATTTGACAATAAATGATTCATGATGCCTTGGCTCATCCCGAGGTACAAAATTTTATTACTTTCAGATTATATAAAGATATAAGATACTATATTATTTGATATATAATTAATTATCTTAATCATTAGATTCATTGTTTCCTTGATATATTGACTTGAAAAGAACTTAGATCCCGTTTGATACACATCTTTTCAGGTCCAAACAGATCTTTCTGACTGAATGAACCAGAAAGACTGTTTGATTTGGACAAAAGAATGGGTTTTTTCCGGTAAGATATGTCTTTCCCAGAAAGCCCCAAAATCATATTTTTCTAGCTGAATGGGACCAAATCCCACCTCTTTTTTTCTTTACTAGATTATTAATTTTTTTAAATAACTTTTTTTTAATTTATTTTTTTTATTGAATTATTACTTTTTTTTTTCATTATTCTGCACAGTCAATCAGATGTATAATCAAACAGCATGGTTTCTTTCCCAGACAGCACTTTCCCGGACAGAAACTATCAGGACCTTAGAAAGATCCGATTAATGAACCCCTTTGAATCATAGATCATGGTGCTTTTTTTTTTTTTTTTAATTATAATCTTATTTGGGTTTGACGAGCTTTTATTATGTTTAATGTTTTATTTATGTACATAAAAACCAGGTTAAATTCCCAAATAAAAAAGCAACTACATTCCAATTATATGTTTATTATACACAAACTTTTTTTTTTTCTTTCTATTACAACATTGTACTTACAATTATTTTATTCTCTACCTAGAGAACACATCTAACAATAGCCTCGTCGTATGTTAATTTTTTTTTTCTTATTAAGACATTGCAATTTGAAAATTTTACCCAACTACAACAATGTAAATTGCTTTGTATTTGGATTGGATGGATACAACAGTGTAGATTTTTCAAAGTACAATGTTGTAATAGGAAGAAACAAATGTTGTAACTTGTAAATAATAATAAGAGGGATTTTAAGTACTTTTGATCCAATTCCTAAAATAATACCATGGAATGGATACATTTTGTAGCACTAGTGAAGAGGTTACTTACAAAAAGCCTAATTAGGTACAAAAAAGCATCTATTCCTAGAGCCTTAACTGCTTGAAGAATAGCCCAGAATGGTTCTCAGGTGCCCGATATACAAATACAACAACAGAACCTCCATTATTGCGCTGCAAAAAAAAAAAAAAGTAGAAATTATTATTTCCTAAATAAAAAATAAATAAATTCATTAATAAATCAAAGAAACAAAAATGGGAAACCTTTCCATCAAGAATTACAAGTTCGCCATCAACCCATCTAGGATTTTGAAATCCCGCCTCTGCAAGCCTCCCTTGTCCTCGATATCGAGCAATCTGAATTGCCAAAAAAATATCTCAAAAAAGCTCACTTTTTTAAAAAAAAATTACAAAATTGGTCCCTGTGTTTTCTGATTTTTATCGTGTTTAGTCCAAATATGAAGCTTTTTTCGAATATTGGACCTCGTCTCAGATTTCACATCAATTTTGGTCCTTATTTCAGAGTTTCATATTGATTTTGGTCCTTAAGGACCAAAGTTTCATGGACCAAATTTGATATGAAACATTAAAAATAAGGACCAAAGTGAAAAAGGGTTTCAAGTTTGGTCCTTATTTTAGGGTTTCATATCAATGTTGGTCCTTATTTCAAGCTTCCTGGGACCAAAATTGATATGGAACCTTGAAATAAGGACCAAAACTGTAAAAGCTCCCAATTTTGGTCCTCAATTCAGGGTTTCATATAGTTTTTTTGGTGTTTAAGATTTTATGATTTTGGTGTCCTTATTGCAAGGTTCCACATACCAAAATTGATTTGAAACCTTACACAAGGACCAAAACTGAATAAACTTACAATTTTGGTCCTTATTTCAAGGTTCCCTGGAGGCCTGGACCATAATTGATATGCAACCTTATAAAAAGGACCGAAACTCAAAAAAGTTTCAATTTTGGTTCTTGATTTAAGGTTCCACATCAATTTTGGTCTTTAATTCAAGATTTCAGGAACCAAATTTGATATGAAGCCTTGAAATAAGGACCAAAACTGAAAAACATTTCAATTCTGAACTAAACATGCAAAAATCAGAAAGCATAGGGACCATTTTTGTAATTTACTCTAATAAAAGTATGTTAGAAACAAGACACTAAAGACTTGCCACTCCAAATTCTTCTGGGATGATCCCTCCATGAGGAAGCTGATATTTAGTTCCAACTTTTGCACGGAATGCTACCTTTTGGAGTAAAAATAAAATAAAATTATATGTTAAAAAAGATGAAAATAGTTGTAAGATATGATTTTTTTTTTAGAATGTAAATGACACACCTGTCCAGCTGGCACATGTGGGTCCCCTGTAATTTTAACTGCTTCTACATACTCATAAAACTCAAGATTTGTAAACTCCTTGTTTTCATCCTCTTTCCACTGACCAAATTTTCGTTTTAATTGAACGATTTCATAAGTGTAATACCCATGTCCAACATAAATTCCTGCATCAAATTAATCATTAAATTAACAACATATGAAGAAAAGAAAGATTTTAAAAGATTACCATTTAAAGGGTCTCCTGTTAACGGAAGCTCAATCCGGTTGAATGTTGTAGATCCAGATAAAGATTGACGATTTTGCCCCTGATTAATGGTGAGATTTATCAACTCATCCACATTGTCAAGCACCTGAAAATTGGAAATATATCATCAAGAACTTGAAGACTTACTTGCTATACAACAACCAAAAAAAAAAATGGTACCCAAATGACAAATGACAAATCTAACCTTCATGGGTATCTCCCCTCTTACAATAGAACTTGCAAGATCAAGAATAACATTGTCTGTGCTCTGACTTTTACTACCTTCAATTCCACCATTATTGCCTAAAGAATCTTGTGGATTCTCTTTGTCTATTTTGAAAGTGAAAGATGAAAGATTTTTCTTTTCTAATTTGGCAGGTGTTCGAATTATATCTTTACAAGATTTGTTAGAAGAAGCTTCTTGTGCCAAATCACTAACCATAATCTTGACTGCAGTTTGACTATTACCTTCATTATCAACTATTGTAATCCCAACATCAAAATCAATCTCATATTGCTCTGTATCACTATCCAACTCTGTATCACTCTCTCTTTCTTCTTCTACTTCTTCATCTTCTTCCTCCATTATTTGTTCAACCACCTTCGATATTAAACTCATGTCTATTTTTCCTAGTGGTGTGAGATTCATCACCTTAATTTTCACATCTTTTGCACCAGGAATTATATCTCTTAAAATATTCTCAAAACCAGCATTCGTGTCTTCATTGTCATTTGCAGATAGATCACTTTCTTCATCCATGGAGTCCAGGGAATTCAAGGTATTGATAAGACTTGATGATGTGGCGGAATCAATTGAAAAGTTTCTAGAATTCTCACTTTGTTTCAAGTATACAATCTGGTTATGCAATTTCAATCCCATGGTGAAATAAGTGAAGGATCAGATGACAGAAGTTGATAGAAATTGAGATAGAATGATAGATAAAGAAAGCCACCTGATGTTTGTATTCTCCTTTCTCATTCATTGTGATAAAAACCTCAAACAAAGGGACACCATCTGCAGCCTCAGCAAGCTGCCTGAACAACAATGCATCTTTAGAATCAACCAAATGTACATATACAGAAGGGTAAAATAGTCATTTTCTCAGATTCAAAAGAGTAAAATGTTGAAAATTATGCACAAGATTTAGTTACTAAACCTGGGAGTATAACTTCTTGCAAGGTACCTTCCATACTCTGCACTTATCTGGATAATACGACCATATGGATCTTGGCTATCATCTGAAAATCCAGTCCACCACCCTACCTGAAATGTCATATGAACAACATAAAGTAAACCATATGTGAAAAAATACAGAAAAAGATTGCATATAGTTCTCAAAGTCCAAGATAGAATGGTTGTAGCAACTCACCAAACCTGCACTAGCATGATCTCGTACAAAGGCTGCATCCTTGAAACGTTCTTCCTTTATGGCTTTCTGCAACATCATGAAAATAGATAAGTACTACAGGTATTGTAATTGTAGATGTGATTGTGATGCTCCCCAATATAACAAAGCACATTATTCTCTTACATTCAGCTGAGACATCACTCTGCCAACAGTGTCATTAGTTGCAGCTGCTGCAATTGCCACTTTAATCCTAGCAGCTTCTTCGTAGTCCTCTTTAACCACAGCAAGGTGTAGTTGATTCTGTAGTGACATACATGTCAGAATGTCATTACAATAGTCTAGAGTAGAAAAGAGTATACTCAAACAGTCAAACACAATACCTCCAAGATCGAAACGATAACCTCCTGCTTATCCACCTCACTGAAATGCTTCTTCCACCGTTCCCAATCCCAATCTTCATCACCACCTCCATCTCCAACGATCACAGCACCACCACCAGAATCATCCGTTTTCCCTTTGTCGTTTTCCGGTTGATTAATATGATAGTGATAGCCATCCATGTAATCATCGAACCACTTAATCACATTTTTAAAGTAGTCGTGAAACGCCGAGTCCCAACGGCGAGGGCTTTCGTTGTCTCCGGGGTTGCCTTCATCGTTATTCTTTTGGCAGCGACAGATGGTATTAGAATGAAAACCGATGGAGAGAGATTGCGAGAAGAGAGTCGACGAATAGGTTGATCGGTGGTTCAAATGAGAGGTGGTGTTGGATTTAGGGGTTGCGTAGGAGAGTTTGTGGGGAGTTGGATCGAAGTTGCGAGTGGAGGAAGGGAAGGCTGGGGGAGATATAGACGCCATTGAAGAGAAGAGACAGAAAGGAGGTTCGAGTGTAGACGAAGGGATGCAGAAAATTGCAAAGGATAAGAGAAGCAGTACGGTGGCGCACGGTGGAGCAGGGGAGCAAAACAGCTTACAGAAGGATGGAGCAAGTGTGGCAGCCAATCACAGAAATTGAATAATGACAAATTTACATAAACGGTCATCCTGATTTATGAAAATGGTCCCTATGGTTACAATGATGCTATTTATATATATACAATCACTAGATATAATTAAAATAAGATTAATTAAACTAAATTAAAACTTTATGAAAGAAGAAGAGAGACTTGAAGATAGTATGATCACTAGTAAATTGTATTTAAGTTGGTGTATCTTTACATTTACAATGATGCTATATATATATATATATATATATACTAGGTTATAACCCGTGGGCACCACGGATGAAAAGTTTAAAAAATAATTTTAATTAAACTGAACTTATTTATTGAAAAGTGATAATAAAGTATTTACTAATTAATAAATGTATAGCTTAGTAATTATCTTTATTAATAGATAGTGGTGTTTGAACGTTATTATCGAAAATATAATTTTCTGGTAAAATTAGAACGCTAGAAATTGTTATTGTTATGAGTTAAATAAAGGTCAAACATATATTTTTATATTTGTAAATATAAAAATGGGTACCATTTGAAATTGTTGAGAAGGGTGTTGTAACATTTATATTTGTTGAAGGAAGATTAATAATTGTATGATGATATACATATGTTTTGGCTAAGTTTATATTTTT